GAAGTTGAAGTCCAATACTTTTTTCAATTTTGCTGAACATTCTAATCCAACACCTAGCTAATTTTGAACATTGGTTAAATTTTATTACTTTTTTTGGTACACCACTATACATCAAGTCTCTTACGATTCACTAAATTTCATAATTACACAACAAAACAAAAAAAAGTCCAACCACAAAACTCTCGAGTTTCAGAAATCAAACTTCTTCATCTTCTGCTCGTCTTGTCTCTTCCTAAAGCTGAAACAATCACAAAATTCAGGATGAAAGCATTAAATACCTTTGGCCTATTAAAGAAAGATCGATGTAATACGACTTACCGAGTCTTGACCGAAAAATGGATCCTTTTGCTTTAATTTTCTTGCTTTGGGATGGTTTTACAGGTTTCGAGTCTTTACCGCTACTCTCTCCAGGCGTAAAACCTGAGACTCTGCTCACTTTTTCATGGTACACAGCCGGAGGTGCAAGCCTTAACCGAGGCAAGCTCTCAATCTGTACCAATCTCTGATCTTTCTGAAGGTTTGTTAGGATTTCAAACTGCAGAGTTAAACAGTGCAAATCTTTTAGTTCATCGCATTGAGGTTTCAAGTTATGGAGGAGTATTCGTTTCAGAATTAAAAACATCTTACCCGTGATAATTGCTGGCCATGAGAATGATCGGTCATTTCATTCTCGTGTGAGTAAGGTGAAGCGCGATGTGAAGTCGTCCCGGTGTTTGTCGAAACTGTGCTTATCAGTCCATAATCTATGTAGAATGATTTACCTTTAGAAGAACTTTGTGTGGTCTTCTTTGGCATACAAACAGGACAGCCTGATGAAGAGACGTGAATAGATAATGATGATGACGTCTCATTCTCTGACGATTCACATTGAATATGATTTGCGTGGCCACAGTTGAAAACACGTACACGAAGAGTAGAGAATGTCTTGGTGAGAGGACAATTGCATATACAACAAAGTAAACTTCTGGGTGCGTACCCGTGAGAAGCACCTTTCTTGAGTAAGCTCATGGTATAGAATGTATCTTCTTCGATCAAGGACTTTGCAGTATCCTATCGCGGGTAATAAAAAAAAAAGTTCTTAAGAAACTGAAGAGAGATTAACTACCCATTTAATCCACGGGAT